TAGTTAATTAGTAGCAGTCCAAGCACTGGACCTTCTTGTAAACAACTCAAGCATGTCTGGGCTGTTTTTCAGCCTGGGCCTCAAAGCTGCAGGCCACCTACTCTTCTGCCAGCAACTTTAACTTCTTTTTCTTTCTTTTGTCTCACCAAAATTGCTAATCCCTAAAAGTAGAGCAATCCAATCTTTTGTTTTTTTAATCATTTTATTGGGGGATCCATCCATCCATTGTGTCAAGCTCATTTGTACATTTCCACTCTTCTTATTACTTACTATTATTATCCAATCTTACTTATTCCCATGTTCTGGCTGCAGAGTGTGTTTAAGGTGGGGGGAAAAACCAATAAAAAACGAAAACAAACACTGTCTGCAACCATGTTGAATGGTGGTATGACAAGGTGATGACTACCAGTTTGAGCTGGTCTTCAACATCACTGGGCACTATTTTTGTGCTTTGGCAATTCTCAGTTTTTACTACTCTTCAGACCTTTATCCATTTTCTATCCCTTATCCCCACAAGATGCCCTCGCCTTCTATGTCCCAGTGAAAGAAAAAGCAAAACAAAAAACCACTTAAGATGGCTCCAGTTCTGCCCCTTCCCTGAAAACTTCGCTACTTCTACAGCCATCCTTGCTTTCCTTGGAGGAAGAGGTGCCCCGTCTCTGTCCACAGGTTGGCTACAGTTGCCAGCCCTTGGGCTTATAGCCTTTTCTTCATGGCTCTGTGCCTGCCTCTAGACACGAGCTCCCTGAAGACCCAATCCAGATCTTCTCCAGAACAGCATTCAACACAAAGCAAAAACAAGGCTGACTTTAGATTCTGCATAAAAATGCAGGTCCTTTGAGGACCTGAATGCACATACCAGTTCTTGTGACTCCTTCAAGCTCAGTGCTCCCACGTGAATCACCACCTGATCCAGCCTGAAAAAGAGGAAAACCGGCTGCACCACTTGCAGTGGCTGGCTAGTAATACAGAAGGGACGAGGGCAGACGACATAGCACTACTCAGGCTTGTGCTGGGTTTCGCAGTCAGCTAACACCCACTACGGAGGAAAGGCCTGGTGAGCTATGTCTGAAAATCAGCCCATGAAAACCCTGTGGACGGCAATGGTCTAATGGTCTACTGACAACTGTTCCTGCGTGCAGTGCACGGACAGGCTGTGCCCTCCTCCTATTTGGCTGAGCTGTCCATTTGACAATGCCTGACTGTCAAGATGATTACATTCTACAGTGGTCTATTCAACAGGAAAGGAGTTAAATGGTGTAAGGTGCTCTTGTTAATACAAACAACCAACATCAAAGTCTCGTCATGTTACTGAGGGGCTGGGTGACTGCAATCTGAAAATACAGAAGCTGATTTTGCTTTCACAGTATGGAAGAGGGACCTCCGCAGAAACTCTTCCAAGGCCAAGTTCAAATTACACTCCCTGTCTGCCGGATGAGATCATTCTTGCACAGGCCTTGACTTGGAGCTGCTGGGAAAACAGTATGGCTGTGCAGTATTAGGGAGTTTTCATATTAGCAGCAGCAGAAATATATGCTGAAAGCTGCTGAACTTGCACAAGAATGAAACTAGTCTCTCTGAAAATTAGAAGCGGAGAACCCAGAGAAAATTTAGCCCAAGTCTCCTATCTTACATGGGAGGAAGCTGAGGTCCAGAGAGTAGGACACAGGAAGCTTCACGAAGTTCAAGGAGAAATTTCATTATCTTTCAGCGCCCTTTGTCCATCAACTTGAAGTTCCCTCACTTGCTTGAACACAGGTCTAGGCCCTGATACCAGTTGTAAAGTTTAAAATTCCTTTCTTACTTGCATAAGCGCTCTAGTTTAATAATGCTTAGAATCAACAATTTAGGTGTCAGGCATTAGGGATTACTTTTGTGAATCAATGGTATTGCACGTATTTATTTACATGATGTTTACTATGCTTTTTACTGATTTAAATGTCAAAGGCACATTTAAAACAAGTGAGATGTCAATAATGAGCAGCCCACTGAGAGAAAAGACCTGCTTGGCGGGAGGTGCACAGTAGCTGTTAAATATTGTAACCCCTAGAAAATAGGGGATGGAATTTCAACTCTCACAGGATCCAGGCTTTCTGGATCTATTGAGACCCAATGAACCCCTGACACTACTGCGCTCAGATAATTTTTAATCCTGAAACTTAAAACCAAAAATATCTCCCAAAACCTTCTTTAACTAAACAGCAGTCTGGCTTAAATATTAAAGAATGTCTGCTGTGAGCATCGTCCTTTTTCAGAGGGCTTCTGATATGGGATCCCAATGACAGCAGCCACTCAAACGGAAGGATGCAAAGCTTAAGGAAAAGCGAGTCATGTGACAAAGGGAAGAATAACTCAGAACAGGAGCCTGAGCGTGGCTGCCCACATGAAAAAGGCAGGCAACGTCACTGAATCGCACATGTGAAAGTGAGTCTCTACTTTGCAAGAAAAGACCTTACACCCCAGTGCTAGACAGTCCTGAACTTGAGTTCTGACTCGGGTCAGGAAAGCACTTAAACCAGAGTACCTCTCTCCTAGCGCTGTGGTAAAGATTGAGAGAGCTCATCCATGGAGACCACAGCATGGTACATGACACCTAGCAAATGCTTAATAAATATTAGCAGTTATTTCTGCTAAGCTTTAAGAATACAACCTGAGGAAACGGCAAAAATAGGGAAAATCATAAAGACAAGAATCACTAGGGATTTGAAAAGAAAAATGTCCAGGGAATATCATGTAAGATTCGACCAGTTAATTGAATTTTGAAACTGCTACCTATTTAATCCATACTTGATGATTTATTTTGACTGAGCATTGTATTTGATGGGGAAATGTGTATAAAGATAGGTACAATACCAAGATTATTATTATTTTTTTGTTACAGAAATAAGAAGGTTCCTTAAAAAAAAAAGGAGCCCTGATTGTATAGTGTGTCGTGGTTGCATATTGGGCTGCTAACTGCAAGGTCCATGTTCGACACCAGCAGCTGCCCCTTGGTAGAAAGACAGGGCTTTCTACTTCCGTAGTCAGTCAGTCTTGGAAGCTCACAAGTGTAGCCCTACCTTGTCTTAGGGGGTTTATAAGTAGATATCAGTTTTCTGGCAGTGGGTTTTCTGTTCGCTTGTTTGAAGAGTACAGCCATATGAGAAATTACTGTAAAAAGCTATTTCATATCTTGTGATTGCTCAGAATTTGACCCCAGGGTATCTGGATCTGAGCTCTCAATGCTCATCTGTGGAGGGAGCCACAGTTAGAAGTGGGCTCAGTGTGGCGATGAACAGAACTCAGCCAGCAATCCAAGACTGTGGTGACATGTAAGCCACCCTCAGAGGATGGAGACGACACATTCCCACTTGGACCCACGCATTCACCAAGTCCTCCACGGAGTCTAGGCTTCCTGTGTCTTAGGTAAAATGAGACCTAGCTGAGAAGTGACGGATCAGGTTCATTTGAAAAGAGAACAGGTGATTTCTGAAAGGAGACTGGCTGACCCGTTTTCCTCTACGAGCGTTGCAAGATCTCCATATCCTGTGGCCCCCCAACCCTGCAACCATCTTCTGGTTCAGGTTAAACTCGTCATCTATCTTTTCCTGCCCTCCTCTGCAGCGTGCAGACACAGCTAGAGAAACTAATGCTAGGCTTTACCTCAGACACACTGGAAGTGTCCCAACTCAGGAGAAAGAGGCTTTGCAAATCGTCTCTGGTGGGACTCGTTCCCTTTCCATTCCCACAGTAGCTGTTTCAAGTCTGGACTCTTTTCCTTAAGCTCTAAATATCACCCAACCCCTTGTTCTTGGTGGATGTCCTTACCTCTTAAGACACCAACGGCAGAGAACCTTTAGACGTGGAAGACTGTCCTGCATGGAAGCCCTCCCGTGCCCTCCTCCACACCTCTCATGATATTCACATCACCGCCCATGCCTGCCAAAGCGACTACAATTCTGGTTTTGTTACAGTCACCCTTGACCAGTGTGCCACTCCCATTTCGGTATCTTTACTCCCGTTTTCTCTCCTAGTGTCCTGCCAGCATAGAAGCAGGCTCAAGATCTCCCCATCTTAAGAGAACACAACCTACCCTTCTTCCAATCTTGCTGCCTTCTTCTCAGTCTGTGCCCCTTTCCCACCTTCTTTAGACCAGGAAACTCTTTGGGAGAATAAGACACCCTCTGTGCCCCCACTCCTATATCCATTCTAGATAGAAGACTAGTTTAACCTGAACCAGAAGATTGCTGTGCTCCATGCTCACGCTCGTCTGGCTTTTGCTCTCTCTGGGGTCACTGGTGACTTCCCATGTGCCAAGCCAAGCAATCTTCTCAGTTGTCCATCTACTGACCTTGGCAGAATCTAGTAATGGTTAGACCAAAAATTATAATGAACATGGTGCTTGTGACAAATAATTACAGCTAATGATTATCTAGTACTTAGTACAATGTGCCAGGAAGTGCTCTAATCCTGACCTTATGAGAAGCACTACTATTATTTCTATCTTACAGTCCAGGCATAGACAGGTTCAGAGACTTGCTTGGGGTCACGGAGCTAGCAGGAGGCAGAGGCAGCTCTCACACTGAGGCAGTCTAGTCTGGCCTCACCAAACAAAAGTAACTCTGCTGCTCAGCTCCTGTAAGAAGTGCTAACCCAAAGCACATCTGCAGACAACTGGACATCCTCTTACAAAAGGGTCACAAGGAAGGAGCCATTCAGGGTGCAGTATAGCACTGATGAAA